GCGGCTATAAATGTGCTCAGTGCCATTGAATTGGGTGAGTTTCATGTGATGTGAATTCCACGTTAGGCTGTCATGTACGACGTCAGCGGCTCCCTGGGAGAAAGATGCTCCCCAGCCTCCTTAACAGTTAGTCTCAGAAGCCCACGGACAGTTCTGCCCTGCCCCACTGGGCCACTAAGACTCGATGGCAATGAGTTTGGGTTTGTTTCTTATAAAACTTATTATCTCTAAAATAGTAGTGATCCTACCTTTAGAGGGCAACAGTTTGTAGGAGGGAAAACTTTCTCAGCATTGCCACTTGATTCAACAAGTGCTTTTAAAAAAAAAATTTAAAAACAAAGGCAGCTGGCTGCACATCATCCAGAGCCAACCGGGGTCTTGGTCAGCGGAAAACAAGAATGTTCTACCAGGTTAGGAAACGGTGCTCAGTCGTTCCACAGAGTTTTCGGGCACCAAGTTACAAATCACTGCAGTTGGATTTTGTCACTCCTTCATGTGCTCACAAGAATTACGGCCTGTGTCGAGGACCCCGCTATTTGCTTAGCTGAAACAAGACCCCCCTCAGTCTGTCAGCCCCGCCGCAAAAGCAACCTGGGGGTGCCGTGTTCTGGTCACTGGCCCCCCACGCTCCTTCCACGTGGTTTGCACCGATGGAAATGTTTCTCTCTTTCAAGTTGGCAGCAATCAGCAGCATCCTGTACCCCTCCCCTGCTCACCTCCTCCTTGTCTGGAATACAGGACCTTTCTCTTGTCCAGGGACCTGCGCCTGGCAGGTAGGAAAGTGCCTCCCCTTGGAGCCCTCTCACTCTCTGCTCCTACACGACCACACGGCTCTTTCTGCCCGAGCCAGGAGCCCAAGAAGGGGGTTTCAAGCCATCTTCAGGCCCATGCCCTTCCCTGACCCACGTCCTGACGGAAGCACGCTTCCTCACGCAGCCTCCACAAAGATTCTCCAAGTCACCCCTCAGGCAGGGCCCGTGTCTGCCCCGCTGTCCTCTGCAGCGCTGCCCGACGGGCACCACTGCCCGTGTGGCTTCTCATCAGGCCTTTGTATCAACTCCTTGCCTCCTTTTCAATGCTTCTGTCTAGAGACTCCAAATCTCCCCAACGATGGCTTCTAGAGGCCACAGCCCGTAGCCCTTAGTCCATAAGCCAGGCAGTCTTACCAGTGCTCACCATCACCCTATAGTTCTTCTTTTCCTACTTCACATAAGTCAGATGCAAATGTACCTTGAACTGTATCTATGTCCAATTTCCTGTATCTGCCAGAGGTAGTTTTCTTATGCCTTAAAAGCCACCGAATGATACTTCTTCCTTAAATGTACTGTTTTAGAAAGGTCTGGGGGGGAAAAACCCACACACGCTCCCTCCAGGTTTCTGCTTCCTGCTTCTGATTCCCTTCCTTGCTGTGTGCCGCCTCGAAGAGTTGCTTTCAAAGATGTTTTTGTTTTGCTCTTAGGGTGCACCTTCGATTGCTCACCGGCCCTGGTGGTGTACTGGGTTATGCATTGGACTGCAGTTCAAAACCACTAGCCACCCTGTGGGAGAAAAATGAGGCTTTCTACTCCCCTAAAGAGTTACAGCCTCAGAAACCCGCAGAGGCAGTTCTACCCTGCCCTGTGTTCTAGTTCTACTCGGTCATAATGAGCCTTCGTTATGAGCTAGGATTAACTCGGCGACAGTGGGTTTTCTCTGGCTGTGCAGTTTGGGCCAGTCATGTTCGCATTTGGTTTTCCCATCAATCCCCTCGAGAAGCTGGAGCCATTTCATGAGAGAGAGAGAGACTTGGTTTTGTAAAAGAGATGAGACACAGAGACACTGAGTGGCCCCGGGCACAGGTAGCAGCTGGTGGAGCCTGGACAGAGCACACAAGCTCCGTTCTACTCTCCACTCACTCTGTGCTTTTCGCCTTCATTCTGTGTAGATGAATCACCTATTCTCTGCCAGTCTACACTCAATCCTGAATTTTGCAAATGGCTATTTATCTAGCAGTAAAAAGTACAGCTTATTTAAGAATGAAACATTTTTCTGCTCCTTCTCTTGATCTCTTCACTAAAGTGACACGAGTTCATTGATCCTGATGCATTTCAGACCCCAAGAATAATCAGCATCCACACATGGGTTTCATTGTGATGCTCTGCTGAATAAACATACAAGGGCGTCCCCCCTCCCTAAAAAAACCAAACAAACAAAATTGCACTGGGCAGAGTGGAGCTTTTGTAATATGCATTTTCCTGCTAGGTGAGCCTCAAGCATTGCCTGGGAAGGTTTTTGGTAAAAGCAGTTTTGCTCAAACCTCATTTTTTGTGATGGTTGATTTAAGAGAACAGCATGCAGCAGTGAAATTTTGTTTCCTGCTTGAGAAAAAATGCTGCAGACACTGTTGTGCTGTTGAACACAGCTTACAAGGACAGCACTGTGGGGGAAACTCAAGTGTACAGTGGTTTTCTCGTTTCAAAAGTGAAATGTCGATTGATGACAAACCTCGTGCTGGATGTCCATTCAAACAGACGAAAATGTCGACTCTTAGTGCATTTGGAGTTTATTCCACAGGTCAGACTGCTAACTAAGCTTTCTATTTAGAGGTTCTGACCATGGAAAGGCCTGATTTGTGGCAAATTGCCACCGCAATGCACCTGCTCCCGCAGTCATCTCAGCGTGCCAGTTTGGGACAAAAACAGCACGCCTCTCTTGCCCTAGGCACCTTCCTCACCTGACCTTGCTGTGTGTGACTTCTTTTTGTTTCCACTAATATAAAAGGACATCAATTTGATGACTACGTAGAAGAGGTAAAAAAAAAACAAACTAGGGAGGAACTGTTAGCCATCCAAACAGATGAACTGGAAAAATGTTTCCAAGAAGGGAATCGCAGATTTGACAAATGCATTAAGTGTAATGGAGAGGAATTTGAAGGTGATAAGGTTGTTTTGTAAAAAAAAAACCAAAAAAAAACAAAACAAAAAACTTAAATACACAGCTTTGAAAAAATAAACCGGGTTTTTGTTGTTGTTGTTTGGGGTTGTTTTTTTTTTGGGGGGGGGGTGGTTTGCCCTCTCGCATGCTAGAATTAACTCTAGGTCAGTCTTCCATGGTGTAGCGGGCATTCCCTTCATTCCTGTAGCTGCAGGGAGGGGCCCTTCAGCGTGAGACATTGTACAAACAGCATGCTCATCCCCCCCCCCACCCCCGCCCCTTACCAGGGCCGCATAACTAGTTGGACAAGTGACTCATCTCTTGAGCCTATTTCTTTATTTTTAAAATGGAGCAAATGACTTTATTACATGTCTAAAGTACTGCTGGTAATGCAGGACGCCCGAAGGTTCTTAATAAACGTACCTGGTTATTAACAGTGAGGATGGAAATGTTTCAGAACAGGCAAACACTTTCACAGAAATAAGTCCCTACGCGAAGTTCCGGTTCCCTGCCTCCTCCATCTCATCCAGTGTCCGATGGGTGTGTCACTGAGAACTGAATGTGAATCCAAGGATGGTGGTCAGCCCTTGTCCTAGACTGTCCCCATCATGGAAAGCTAGACAAAAACCCTAGCTCAGAAAAAAATGTGCTTTGTTTTACAAGTATAACCCAACTATAATTAGTTGCTTTCTTTGAAGCCACTCATTCATTGCCCTCTCCTGCAGGAGACCGAGTGAGGCAGGAGAATAAGCATCGGACTGCTGACTGAAAGGTCGGCGGTTCAAACCCGCCAACTGCTGTCCTAGAGAAAGATAAGACTGTTTACTCCCATAAAGATTCCCAGAGCCTCAGAAACCCTATAGGGCTATGGGTTACTTGCAGGGGGCTGCCTTCAGATGGTCTATGTTTTTTCTGGTTAAATTTGAAAGAGATTTATTGAAGCAGTAACATTTATCTCTTTCTTCTTTGTGAAAGTGGGTTTCCTGCTTTTTGGTTTGCTAGATTGTAAGAGTACAGTGTTTGCAAGTTGCCACTACAATGGCCTCATTCTGAGATAAGATTAGAAAATGTCTGGTTTCAAATTCTTCTTCCAAGCAGTTAAAAAGTGATGTTGCAAATCAGAGATGCATTTGTTATGAGATTCAGCAGTGGCTCCTCATTAATGAATGGGGTCCTTTGCTTATAGTGCAAATGAAAGGCAAAAGGCACTTTCTGATTGGAGAAATGAATTCTCGGGCACAGGTTCCTTTCTGATACGGGATGTTTTGTGCATCATTAACCAGCACGATCTATGAGGATAACCTAAATGTGCAGCCTGAGCATGAATGCAAAATGCCTGCCCTGTCACAAAATGCACACGTATTAGCTCTGTGGATGGGGAAAAGCAGCATGGCTCCTTGTTTAAAAAGACAGCCGCGCCCCTTAGGTTCTCACACCAGGGCACATTCTGGGGATGGCCACATTTAACATTTTTATACTGATGCCTGATTGTTCCTAAAATGCTGTTTGCTGAGAACTATGACACTAGATTGTAAATTATTTATGGGAAATATGTTCATCCAAAGTGATGGTCTTTTAAATTGTCCTTTCTTGTCATCATTAAGTGTGGATGTGCACATATAATTGTTGCTTGGCTTCTAGAGACTCTAAGATTCATGGCAGGAAAAGCTTGTAAAACAAATTTCTTGAAAACAACAGTGCTTTTTAAAATAGAATCTGTTGAAAAAACTTGGAGGGAGCACACACACACACACACACTTTTTTCTTTCTTTTCTTTAAGAAGCAGATACTCCTTTAAGGTAGCGCGAGGAAAGACATGATCTTCCATTACAGTGACGGCACTCTGCCACAATCACCATGTCAGGAACATATTCTTTCCAAGTGAAAGACAGGGAATAAGAGAATTTATTTTCAGAAAGTCTGAAACTGGTTTTTGAGTTGTCTAGTCCTGAGAGATTTATCAAGACAGGTAAGTACTAAAGGTTGCTTTTTGTTCCTGCCTACGATCTTCTAAAGGTGACAGGGGCATCAAACGGCAGCCCTTAGTCTCTGTGGCTAAACCTGGATTCTGTTTTTTCCCACTGCAGAATCGGAAGACTTTTCGATGGAACGGAACCCATTGTCTTGGACAGTCTCAAACAGCACTACTTCATTGACAGAGATGGACAGATGTTCAGATATATCTTGAATTTTCTACGAACATCAAAACTTCTCATTCCTGATGATTTCAAGGTGAGGAACCACATTTAATTAGCAAGCGCAATTAGTTCTCTATACTTGTTTGATTTTTCTGTCTTTTCTGACAACGAGTAGACATTCATGTATAACTCGTGGCGTTGAAAGAAAGAAAAGTTGTGGAAAAGGAGAACAAATTAATATAGCCATAAGCATGTAGAGTTAGTAAGGAAATACTATCTCAGGACTTCATGCTGGTGTGTGTGTGTGTGTGTGTGTGTGTGTGTGTGTGTGTGTGTGTGTGTGTGTGTGTGCGCGCGCGCACGTTCTAATCTATACAACCTGGAGTTCACCCAGAGGGATAGTTACTGGGAAATTAAAATGATTTCATTTCAACCTGAATGCATTTCCAAAAGCCCACTTGGAATCTTCATTTAGTAGTCCATTGGCCCTTTAAAGTAGCCCATTGGCCCAACAATGAGTTCCCCATGCAGCCCCCGACCACCAAGGCGGCCAGCACAAACTTGCTCCTCTTCCTTTGCATCCTATCTCAGTGAAAGATGCCCAAACCCACCTACTTGCTCCAGGCAGAAACCTGGCAGTCATTCTGGACTTGTTCCTCTTCTTCACCTCCCACACACGGCCAGTTGGTGAGTCCTGTCCATTTATCTCCCAGAGCTGCTTCTACCGTAAGCCCCTCCTCTCCACCCACCCGAGTCCAAAGCACAGCAACTTTCTACCCCTCTCCCACTTACCCTTCATCTTGAAACCAGGAGGTTCTTGATGATGATGGTGATGAAGCTTTATATTTTGAGATTGCACTGAGATCGGCACAGATTCACATGCAGTGACCCAGTAGAGCGTTCCCAGGCTGTAAATCTTTACAGACAGCCTCATCTTTATCCTATGGAGCAGCTGGTGGTTTTGAATAGCTGCCTTTTCAGTTAGCAAATAATAACAGAGCGAGCCTAAGAGTAGTTTCTTGCAAAACTCCAGCACAGCATCACAACCATGACATTGACGCTAGTCCAGGGACAGAGCAGTCTGTCTCCACCGGGACCCCACCTTGCCCCCTCTGAGCCACACAGTCCTTTCTGTCTTGTGTTTCCCAGCCCTACCCCATCCTGAGTTAGGAGACACATTTCTGTATTATTACTATTATTATTAATCATTTTATTCGGGGGTCTTCCAGATCTTATAACAACCCATCATTCAATTGTATCCAGCACTCTTGGACATATGTTACCATCATCATTTCCAAAACATTTTCTTTCTACTTGAGCCCTTGGTATCAGCTCCTCTTTTCCCCTCCCTCCCCGTCTCCCAGCCTCGTGAATCCTTGATCAATTATATATTATTAATGGTTATTTCACATCTTACACCAGCCGTTGACTCAGAGAGACTTTTTTTTTTAAGGAAGAGTGGATCACAACTCGCCCCCGCCTGACCCGCTTCAGGCAGTGTCCCCAGCCCACAGAATGTGCCGCATCCTTCCAGAGCCTGCCTGTCCCAGAGGACTCCAGTCTCTGCCCATCTCCGCTGACTCGCCTTGTTCCCTACCCATCGACCCCACAAGATTTCTCACGCCTCCTCCAGCACGCCATCTTCTTTCCCACCTCAGAATCTGCCTGCTGGAGACAGTCTTCTTCTCCCTCCTCTTCCTCTGCTTGCCTTCATCACCCATCTCCATCCCCAGCAAGCCTTGCCTGCCCCAGCTTAGCTAGGTCTCCCTGTGCCCCTGAAGCTCGCGGGTCCCACGCAGTGCATTTGTAACTCTGGCTACACCGGTGAGCACTGCAGACCCAGCTGTCAGTTAGGCAGCTTTTCCTTACACGTATCAGCAGACCCCAACTCGGGGTCTAAGCCCGTGCTGTCAGACAGGCGACACAGCCCCTGGAAGCGCTTCTCCTGGATGCTGGGCTGTATAGTACACAAGCTTGCAATTGCCAGGCTGGGGTGTGTGTGTTAAGTAACTGTTTTTCTGCAAGGGGCTCGTATGGCGAATGAAGTTTGGGAGCCTGTGGTCTAAACAAGTGGAGATTTATTTTTCTCACGTAAAAAGTTAGAAGCCCGTGGTTGTGGGCAGCGGTGTCTGCTGGGTGATGTGACCAGGGAACAGGACTCTCTCTGTTTCTCCGTCCTGCAGGGTTGGTTGTTGCGGCCCTGTGCTGGGCACCTCCAGGTCGTCAGGTGACTGGCATCACGCCAGGCACAATGTCCTCATTCCTGCCAAGAAAGGGGACAGACAGCGTTTTCCTCACGAGGCTCTGTTCTTGATAGGAATCCCTGGAGGGTTCCCCCTTGTAGCCCCGTGGCCAGAACGGAGCCTCAGCTTCCTGCAAAGGAGCCTGGGAAAAGCGCTTTCTCCTTTTCCACCTGCGAAGTGAAAGAAATGGGCCCAGGGTGCAGGGCTGGGAGCCTGGCGAGGGGTCGGGGAAGCCAGCCAGCAGTGCCTGTCACTGGCTCAGCACCTGGCACCTAGTAAGCATGTAAATATTTGGGGCATGTGTGAGTGAGTGAATGTGTATATATCGTGACTCCCTAACTATTGTGCAAGGTTCTTACAGGCAGGGACAGTTCCAATTTTCTAGAGGACACTGTGTGCTGGGCATAAATAATTGCTTAATTTAATGCTAATTAAGTTAAACACTACAAAAATAAGAGTCAAAAGGAGTCCTAGAACTCCAGAATGTAAGTTAACAATGCCGTGTGTGTGTGTGTGTGTGTGTGTGTGTACTTTTCTTATTGTGAGTTGGGTAAAGACTCAGAGAAAATCAGTTTTCCATCCAGCAATTCATGTACATTTTGTTTCATGTCATTGATTACAGTCCCCTACACGATTGTGTCTCTTATCCCACTTCCTCCCGTGTTTCCTGTTTCCTTTCCTCCCCCTCCCATATCTCTGCCTGCCTTCTGAGCTTGTCCTTGGACAAAGGCTGCCCTTCCGATCTCAGATGGTTGATTATTCTGTGGCGTGATCAGTTCTTAGAGTATTGTTCCCCTGACAAACCTGTGTATTTGAGGGCTGAACATTGAGTCACTGGGGTTGAAGAAATGGGGTGAGAGCCGTGTCTGACCTCCTGTACAAAGCTATACAAAGGAAGGAAGGAAAATCCAGTTGAACACCAGCTCAAGGCTCATTGCCACAGGCAGAGGTCAAACATGCCTCTGACGTCCAAGGCCCTTTATCATATTCTTTGGGCACCAACCATCCTTCCCACGACACTCTTTCTGGGTTTGATAATCGTTTGTGGAGACCAGAGAGAACTCGCAAACAATACTCAAGGTTCTGGGAGTTTATTAGGGAAGTTAATAGGTTACCACAAGTCAAGATCAGAAAACATTATGGACCCAATTCTTTTGTCCACAGCAGCACCCGTTTTCAGCCACCGTTTTCAGCCACGCGGATAAGCACATCTCTCTCTGGTCCTTATCTTCCCAGCCACCAAGCCCTTTGGACCCACCTCTATTCTGAAAACTCTTAAGCTCCGATAGACGTACGGTTACAAGTCATGACTGGAAATGGCGTCCCAGCTTTTCTTGTTCTGTTCCGGGCATGAGGTTGGCAGCGCTCCTCTGCTCCGATTTCATGGTCTTGGCGCTGCCGCCTCTGCCACTCTGACCCGTGCTCCACTAGTGACGCTTCCTTCTTGATGGTGGTAGGATTCCACTCCCCTCGATTCTGAGACTTATACCCAGAGGATTGCTGAAACTGACCAACCCCCCCCTTTTCAATCATTTTACTGGGGGCTCATACAAACTCATCACAATCCATGCATCAATTGAATCGGGCATGTTTGTACATATGTTGCCTTCATTCTTTTCTAGACATTTACTTTCCATTGAGCCCTTGGTATTAGCTCTCCCCCCCACCCTCATAACCCCGATAGATTGTACGTTGTTATTATTTGCATCTCTCACACCGACTGCTGTCTCCCTTCCCCCATGTCTTCTGTTGTTCTTCCCCCTGTAGAGGGGTGCATGGTTATGTGTGGATCATTGCGATCAGCTCCCCTTCTTAGTGTCCTCTACACCTTCCTTATTGGTACGTTCCTGCCCAGTCATTTGGTGGGAGTTTTAAAATCTTTGGATACAAGAGTGATACCAAATCATTTCACTTGACCATCGAGCTGCATCCAGTTCCCGACCCAAAGGGCGACGCAGAGCCGCAGTCTCTGTGTGCACCCACTCATGGACTGTCATCGCAAGACTGGATATAGACCACGATTTACCTCCGGGGCCTCTCACTCTTACTCCTCTCACTGTCTTCTGTTGCCTCCGTCTTTTTTTGCTGATCTCTCTCTTATTCTATCTTGCCTTCCCATTCACCAAGTTAACATTCGTCTACCCTCTAGTTAATGAGGCCTCCTCTCTTCCTCTCCCACCTCAGCTCACCATCGAAGAATTGTTTTGGGTGAAAAAGTAACTTTTTCTAACGATGGCCTCATACAGTCTCTCTCCTTTGGTGATTAGCTTAACGCTTAATGTCCTTCATGAGCTAATACACAGATTCATTGCTAGTCTTTCATGTTGTGCGTATCCACCACAGTCTCCCTGTTCTTCCACTGATGGGCATGTCGCCATTTCCAGCTTGTGCCTTTTGTGGACAGTACTGAAAGTGAACGTGGGTGTGCATACGCTGTTTGTGTCGTGCCCTTACTTCTCTAGGATATACATCTAATCGTGGGATTGCTGGTCATATGGCATTTGTGTTTCCAACTTTCTAAGGAAGCACCATTCTGCTTTCCACCGTGGCATCGCTGTACAATCCGACCGGTAGCACAAGGGCATTCCAGTCCCTCCACAACCTTACCAACGTGTTCTGTTGAACTTTGCTGTTGGCGACGAGACGAGACTCCATCTCATGGTGGTTGGATTTACATCCCACATTCTGGGGATCCAGAACATCTCTTCATGTGTTCACTGGCTTCCTTCTTTGGATAGGTCTGTTCCTGAGCTTTCTCTACATTGTTGGGGCTCAGCCTCTTGTCTGACACGCCATAGCCCAAACGGTTTCGCCAGTCTCTGAGGTCTGCTCTCACTCCGGGGAAATCGTT